TATATATATATTATTGAATGTATTTAAAAATATTTATAAATTATTTTAATGCAGATGATGTTTTGACACTGAAAAAAACTTGTATTTGGAGATTTAAGACGTGTCAAAATAAATGTCATTTTAGAACACGTTTTAAGCAAAACATTTGTCAAAATTGTAAGATTTAAATAGTAAACCATGGTAAACTATATATATATTTTTTTTATGAATTTATGTATTTAATTAATAAAATAAAATGTAAAAATGTAATGTCAGATAATGTAATATATATTTAATATTTATACATTAAATTAAATTATATATTAATAATTTTATTATTTAATAAATCAGCCAGGCTGTCTGATGAGCTACACTTTGTAGAGATGTGAGGTCATAAAGCACATTATAAAGTCTCATTTTGGTTTTTGAGATCCTCATGGGTTTTAATAGTGGCCGTCTGAAGAACTGCCCTGATGAAAGCTCTTTTAGGGTATTAATATGACAGCACGCTGATGTGTACGTCAGTCCCAAGCTTGTGCGTCACCATTTATAAACTCAAGCGTGTGTGCGCACACAGTGCTCGTATACCTGTGTGTGACTGGAATATGATGTAAAACTACTCTCGAATCCAAGTGAGCAGGTGGTTCTGCTTATGTGTGGAAACAAAACACGTCTCTTTAAGACTATGTGATACTGTACAATCTGATCTAGTTTGACACTTTGCCACAATCCAGGGCCATGCACAGTGACAACCGAAACGTAATCCTACAAACAAGTCATGTTTCTGCTTAGATGTTTTAATGTTAAAATGTACAATAGTCCGTGCTTTCAGAAATAAGAATGTGCAATAAAGTTATTTTAAAGGAATAGTTCGCCCAAAAATTTTAATTTGCTGAAGATGAACTCACCCTCAGGCAATCCAAAGTGAGTTATCTGTAAAACTGCAAACTGTTCTTTATCAGAACAGATTTGGAGAAATTTAGCATTATCACTTGATTATTGTGTCATCTGCAGTGAATGGGTGCCGTCAGAATGAGAGTCCCAACAGCTGATATAAACATCACAATAATCCACAAGTAATCCACACCACTCCAGTCCATCAGTTTATGGCTTGTGAAGCGAAAAGCTGTGTGTTTGTAAGAAACAAATACATCATCAAGGTTTTTAACTTTAGAACCATTGCTTTTGGCCAAAATACTATGGAAAGTCCATAATCCGTAATAACGCTTCCTCTAGTCAAAAGGTCCATCACCTGATGTCCTCTCACATCAAAATCCACCAACATACTTGTTTAGAGCTGTTTTGGACTGTTTTTGCTTGCAAATGATGCTTGACCTGTGCAAAATTTCACTCCGGATTCTGACAAGTTGACTTTTCACTGGAGAAAGCAATATTATGGATAGAGGACTCATATTTTAGCTAGAAGGCTAAGCAATGGTTTTAAGTAAAAAAATGTCTTGATGTATCTGTTTCTTATAAACATGCAACTTTTCACTTCACAAGACTTCAATCATCCAAAGTGAGTTATCTGTAAAACTGCAAACTGTTCTTTATCAGAACAGACTGATAGATGAGAAATTTAGCATTATCACTTGATTATTGTGTCCTCTGCAGTGAATGGGTGCCGTCAGAATGAGAGTCCCAACAGCTGATATAAACATCACAATAATCCACAAGTAATCCACACCACTCCAGTCCATCAGTTTATGGCTTGTGAAGCGAAAAGCTGTGTGTTTGTAAGAAACAAATACATCATCAAGGTTTTTAACTTTAGAACCATTGCTTTTGGCCAAAATATTATGGAAAGTCCATAATCCGTAATAACGCTTCCTCTAGTCAAAAGGTCCATCACCTGATGTCCTCTCACGTCAAAATCCACCAACATACTTGTTTAGAGCTGTTTTGGACTGTTTTTGCTTGCAAATGATGCTTGACCTGTGCAAAATTTCACTCCGGATTCTGACAAGTTGACTTTTAACTGGAGAAAGCAATATTATGGATAGAGGACTCATATTTTAGCTAGAAGCAATGGTTTTAAGTAAAAAAATGTCTTGATGTATCTGTTTCTTATAAACATGCAACTTTTCACTTCACAAGACTTCAATCGATGGACTGGAATGGTGTGGTTACTTGTGGATTATTGTGATGTTTTTATCAGCTGTTTGGACTCTCATTCTGACGGCACCCATTCACTGCAGAGCATCCATTGGTGAGCAAGTGATGCAATGCTACATTTCTCCAAATCTGTTCTGATGAAGAAACAAACTGATCTAGATCTCGGATGGCCTGAGGGTGAGTATATTTTCAGCAAATGTTGATTGTTGGGTGAACTATTCCTTTATTGAATTGCCTGGTATTTATAAATGTTCAATGTTCAAATGAATAATTTTAGATGTCTACGTTTTTATTAATGAAAATGTTTCATTTTTTACACAATAATCCACAAGTAATCCACACCACTCCAGTCCATCAGTTTATGGCTTGTGAAGCGAAAAGCTGTGTGTTTGTAAGAAACAAATACATCATCAAGGTTTTTAACTTTAGAACCATTGCTTTTGGCCAAAATATTATGGAAAGTCCATAATCCGTAATAACGCTTCCTCTAGTCAAAAGGTCCATCACCTGATGTCCTCTCACGTCAAAATCCACCAACATACTTGTTTAGAGCTGTTTTGGACTGTTTTTGCTTGCAAATGATGCTTGACCTGTGCAAAATTTCACTCCGGATTCTGACAAGTTGACTTTTAACTGGAGAAAGCAATATTATGGATAGAGGACTCATATTTTAGCTAGAAGCAATGGTTTTAAGTAAAAAAATGTCTTGATGTATCTGTTTCTTATAAACATGCAACTTTTCACTTCACAAGACTTCAATCGATGGACTGGAATGGTGTGGTTACTTGTGGATTATTGTGATGTTTTTATCAGCTGTTTGGACTCTCATTCTGACGGCACCCATTCACTGCAGAGCATCCATTGGTGAGCAAGTGATGCAATGCTACATTTCTCCAAATCTGTTCTGATGAAGAAACAAACTGATCTACATCTCGGATGGCCTGAGGGTGAGTATATTTTCAGCAAATGTTGATTGTTGGGTGAACTATTCCTTTATTGAATTGCCTGGTATTTATAAATGTTCAATATTCAAATGCATAATTTTAGATGTCTACGTTTTTATTAATGAAAATGTTTCATTTTTTAAATTATGAATTTTCAGGAGTTTTGCTTGAGATGTTTGGTAATTGATTTCTCTAAAGCCAGACTAAGCAGTCCATGAATTCATTACATAGAGAATATTCAGTTTCATCATTGTTGTTGTAAAGTATTTTCCTGTCATCAACAACAAAGCCACATATGGACTGATTTTGGTGTAAGCGGTGCCATACCAATATTTGTTATCTTCTTGTCACATTTCTCTGCATTTTTTCCTCTTTTATTCAGACAAATTATTTGATGGTGAAAACATTGTACCTGTTTAAGATGTGCATTGTCTCTCTAGCAAAAACTCTTACAAAGAAAAATCACTTGAAACGATTTCGTTCTGGGACCTTTTGTTTATTATGCATATCTGCTTCCATCAGTTAACATTGTAAATTCCTGGTTTAAAAAGTTTCCATTTATTTACAAAAACAAAAACTGAAAGTGCAGACATAGTTAAACTATCTGTGGTATGGGTGTTGAATTAAATTCACTCAATTTAAATGCCATGTTTAAATGAAATTATATAGCTTTCTATATTTGTACAAAACGTTTTGAAACCATTTTTTTTTCTTTCAGAATGGTTAGCATCACAATATGCGTTACATGCGGTTACTTTGGGAAGTAACTTTGACTTGGATCATAAAAACAAAAACAAAACACATGTCCATTATCCCTTCAGCACTAAATGCAATAGCAACAGATTTCTTTTTTAAAGGTTAAAAAAAGAAGTTTAAACTATTTGCATTGAAATACATTTAGCTCAATTAAAAAAACATTTTTTAAAATAACAACTAGACATTTACTCAAGTTTTATCACTTAAAAAAATACTTAAAAATGTGCTTCTGTTGAGCAGCTAATAACGTGAGGACAAAAACATCAACCGGTTAAAACACTCTGGTGAGTAGTGGTGTCATTTCACCAGCAAGAGTCACAATTCTGAAGATATAGTCTCTGCACTAGTGACTAATCCGGCACTGGTAAAACATCTACTATAATATAATTCAATATTTACTTGTTGCTTGCAGTTACATGTATTCCAGCAAAATATACTGAATGGCTGTCAATGGAGACAGATGTTTTTAGCAGCCAGATGGTGTAGTTATGACATCTACCAGCAGGGGCAAACTGAGCCAAATTAGCAGAAAAGCCCTCGGCTAGTTTTGAAGAGACACCTGCATTTGACTAAGGAATCTGCTATGTTTTATTGGCACATCAACACAGGTTTGTGTAAAAAAATAAAAAATAATACAAATGTAAAAACAACAGTGTTTGTTTGTTCTGAATCCTTTATGTGAACCTCCAGGTGTTAATAATGATCTACATGACAGGGTTGTGCAAAATTCAGAATGGAACGATCGGCTCTCTTTCAATTCACGAGTGTGAACTGAAATTGGCCACATCTGACAGGAAGTTCATGGGAATGACAGGAAGAGCAATTTACTGAATCGCAATTCATCACAAATAATGCATTCTGGGAAAATAAGTGTTTTATCCACCTTGGTTAACAGTTAATTCATTAAATATGATGGAATATATGTTCTTTTATTTAGTTTATATATATTTAGAATCTATCTATCACAAGTTACATATTTCTTTATATAGATGTGGATTTGATAAGTGTGAATAGTGTAATACAATTTTTTTTTGTTATTGAAATATACAATTTTTTTTAACATAACATTTTAATTTCCGGTTAATTTTACTGTAAAAAACAAATTCATAAAAATAGGGCACAATGTACTGTATTAATATGAAGGAAGTTTCCATATTGTTTTTAAATGTATTTTACCTGTATTTTGGATTGGATTGTGTTTTATAATTAATAGAAATGTCTATATAATTAATAAACAATGTCCTACCTCCTTACATTCACATTCAAATTGCAATTTTGCTTGCTTACTCGATTCAAATTGAAGAGCTAAATTTGAATTTAAAACATTCTCAGTTAAATTCTGAATGGTGCACAATCCTGTTTCATTTTGAATGCAGGTGTATAAGCTAATGTTTATTTTAAAAAAAGGTTAACAAAAAGGAAAAGTTTTGGTCAAATAACTCTTGACAAAGGAAGTCTGGAAGTCATGAAGACCCAAAATGTATCTCTTCTGGTTGCTCTTTGACAGTCTTCAGAATATCTCGCTACCTGCAACCACAGCTCTCCACCACCATGTCCTCGTACTGCTTGTACACCACATTATTGGCCGAGTCAATGTACAGAATACTGATGGGGCTGAGTCTGGTCGGGACGCAGCAGGTCGGTGGCGTGGATCTGGGATCCATGGAGTTCATGAGAGTCTGGATGATGGCGTGATTGGTAGGCTCCAAATGCGAGCGGATGGGAAAGTCGCAGACGCCGTCGCAGTGGAAGGCCTCGTACTCCAGAGGCGCGATGATCCAGTCGTCCCAGCCCATTTCCTTGAAGTTGACGTGCAACTGCTTGCGGTTGCACCTCTGTTTGGGGCTCTTGGGGGGTTTCTTCCCACGTGGCAGCGGTGCCCGCCGCATCCGCCGCTGGGTGAAGAGGTACTCGTAGACGGTCTTGTTGTCGTGACCCGAACGGGCTTTGATCTCGTTGTAAAAGAGCCCTCGCTTTTTCGTACGGCCAAACACCACAAAGAAGGCTTTTTCCTTATTTTGCCTTCCCGCCTGACCCAGGCCGAGTAATCGCAAATCAAGCAGTCGGCCTTGATCGACTGCGTCCAGCTCAAAGCAAAGCTGAGGAGTGTTTCTGAAGTTCTTGAACAGTTTCCAGATGTCAAACACTTCCCAGTACGGGGCGCTATGAGGGTTGATAAGTCGGGTCTGCAGCAGGACGGGTATGTGCTTACCTGAGGCACAGGAGTACAGTCTCAAAGCTACCATGCCCTTGCGAAAGTCCATGTGCTTCTTTCGGAGGATGCGCAGCTCTGCGCCTAACAGACCCTCCTTCTCCATTGAGCTGATGTTGAAGAGGTACTGCTGACGCCTCAGGAGGGGCCCACGGTCATCTGCAAAAGTTAAGGTCAAAGGTCAATAAAAACAGCCCTTGAATTACTTCAATAGTTTCATTTTAAAACTTAGTTCTGTTAAAAGCACAACACAAAAAAGTAGTATTATTTGCTTTTCATGTACCATTTTTATAACAAGTCCATGCTTTTTGGTTGTTACCATGGTAATACTAAATTTTTGTATGGTATTATGGTAATGTTGGATAGTTTTGGACATCTGTAATAGTATTACCATAGATTTTAGATACAAACTATGGTATTACCGTGTTTTTTTTTACATTTATTGTTGTAATACCATGATTTTATGGTCAATTATCATACTAATACCCTGGTTTTTGCACATGCTATCAAGATAATACAATGTTGGTTTTGTCTGTACTATAGTAATACCATGCGCTTTGGATATTATCCATGATAATGTTACCATTTACCATGGTAATAGCCTACTATGTTTTTGCACAGCAAAAATATTTTTTTATTTGGATGTACAATAGTGTTACCATGTTTTTTTGTATACAATATCAGGTTTTTAACATTTACCATAAGAATAATATGATTAGCATGGTAATACTAAGTTCACTGCATTTTTTTTAATACAATAACATGTTTTTTTTAATCATTTACCATAAGAATAATATGATTTACCATGGTAATACTATGGTTTTGCACTTCGTGTTAGGACAATACAATGATTTTATTTGGACATGCACAATGGTTTTACCATGTTTTTGGACACAATATCATGTTTTTAACATTTTCCATGAAAATACCATGTTTTTTTCCACATTTACCATGGTTATATCATATTTGTGCACATAATATCAGGGTAATAGAGTGTTTTTAATTGGACACAATGCTTTTTTGGTCACAATACTGCTGTTTGAAGTAATACCATGTTTTAGTTCACATGGTCTCATGATAATACTATGTTTTTTGGACATTTACCATGGTAATACAACGGTATCGTGTGCAGTAAACACCATATTACATGAATATGGCAATCATTCAGTAACATGGTATTCCCATCTGATACCATCACTGTACTTTTTGAAAGGGAAGACATTTAATTTTAAAAGAGTAAAATGATCAGTCACTTTGATCTTTTCTAACAGCACTGCAGCTAATTTTTTCCACAATCAAAGCTCACACATCGTGATTGTGTGTGTGTGTGTGTATGTGTGTGTGTGTGTCTAAGAGAGAGCACTTTCTGAATGCAATGCAATGCAATATGAAGGCAGTGCATTACAAAAATCAAAGGTTTCATTTTATCCAAGTTTGCTTTCAAAAGACTATTAAAACCAGACGACCTCGGCCTGGAGACCACAACATACTGTAAACACAGCATTATTATCAACCTGCAGCTATTTACCAGTGGGCCTACCACCGTGACATATGGCTTTCACTAACATAGGCTGAAAAGACCATCTGAAGCGCATGGAGAGGGGCAGAGAGAGTGCAACTGATTAGCGCTGTATGAGTGTGTGTGTGTTTGTGTGTGTGGAGATATAAATTACACTGAATGGATGTACAAAGACATGACGTGCGGTCCATTTTTAAACAAAGAAATAGTTATGACTTAGAGCAAATGTTAATACCAAAAATGGAAATTCTGTCACCATTTACTCGCCTTCATGTCAATCCAAACCTGTGTGACCTGTATGATCTCCAAAAGGAAATATTTAGCAGAATGTTCCAGGCTGCTCTATTTCATGCATTGAAAGTGAATGGAGAACTAGCATTTGTGCTTCACAGATGAGGTCATACAGGTCTGAAGCAACAAATGTGAGTAAACGATCATCTGTAGGGAAACTTTTCCTTTAGGTGACGGAAAAATGCATGCATTTCTTTCTCGGTGTCTACAGAGGATGTGGTAACTATAAATCTGGAAAGGGCATTTCACACAGCATAAACTAAAACCATTCAAAGTTTCTGAGGGGTCAACTTTGGAGCTACATAAAGCAGGGCCATTTAAATGCTGTTTTAAACAGATTTACTTTGAAAAAATAAAAACATATCGAGGCCACCTACTTGTAACCGGCCCAGGAGTTTATTTACTTTAAGCAGAGGTCCATCAAAAGTCTTATGCCAGATGCATATTGACACAGTTGGTTTGGGTCAGAGACCCGGATAAAAAAAAAAAAATTTCGATTTAGTATGTAGTGCAAAAACTAAGCAGAAATAAGATGTTTTCAAAATATATATATCCACTGACTTTTCTTTTGTATAAACAGAATAGGACAATTTAGCGTAAATGCAGTAGACTTCAAATGGGTAGTTGACGTGACATTTCAAGCAGCGACAGCAGTATCCTGCCATTTGAAAGGCCATAACATTTTCCTTTGCAAGTTTTATTTTGATTGTCATACCTGCACTTTTTTATGAGCTTATTATTTGAGAAAATATATGGAATGTAAACTCTATGGGATATTTATTCTCATAAATAATTCATTTTCACACTGCCAGGCTATTGGGCCTGCAAAAATCTTAAACATGATTAAAGATAGTGTGGCCACTTACTACAGCTAAAAATATACACATCATCTTATAAAATCTATTTTCACTTAAAATCTTTATACTAACTAGCTAACTAACTAGGTAAATAGTAATTGGGGATAGAAAAAAAACTGATACTGGGGCTAGCTGTCTCATGTGAATATTTCAGTGAGTGGTTTATTGAAAAAAAAAAAGTATATATTCATAAATATAAATATATATATATATATATATTTCTTGTTAAGTTTCACCATCATAGTCCAGGAAAATAAGTCTGGCATGTTGTCACAATATATGGGGTAAGTTGTCACATTACAAACCTGATATTAAATAGCTAATTATAGGCTTTTCAGCTCATTTTAAATAGTTAAATTAGTATAAAACATAAAACAATTCATGAAACAGCTACTGTAAATGTACCAGAAAACAAAATTCTAATTAATAAAATGTTACATATAAAAACAAAATAAACCATTTTGATTGTTCACCCATTTACCCAACAACTATAAAAAATAAAACAAATATGAAAATCATATGAAATATTACACGTTAAATATTAAAAATTTGCAACCAACAAAAAAAAGGAAGAAACACTTTTTTTTTTTACAATTCAGACTTTTGATTCAAAACCTCATAGTTACTGAGATACAGCCCTTGTGACAATTTACCAGTGTGACAACTTGCCCCGATTGTCCCTATAATGTGCATACAAAAGAACTCTCCAATGCAAAGCAGAATAAACAGGGATACCATACCTTGTCCTCTATCTACAAAGCTGGTGATGGTGTTGGCCATCCCAGCCTCGTGCAGGACACTAGTATTGACCTCTCCGCTGGTCAGTGACCAGTACAGGGACAGCATGTAGTCATGGGGCGTCACTAAAGGGTGTTTGGGTTCCTCGCTGTCCTCCAGCTTCATCGCTCGCGGATGCGCAGGTGCCAGTGCAATGCTTTTCATCACGCCAGCATTGGTCTGACCAGCCCTGATCGCAGCCGGCGCAGGGGATTTCTGCGCAGAAACTCCTTTATTGTGTCCCGCTTGATGCTGGATGCTGGAAGAGGATGCGACTCTCGCCGCATCCTTGGGTACCCAAGAGCGCGCGGCCTCCCTGCGCCCCAAACTCACAGGGACCGCGGCGCGAGCCGGGTTACCCTCGGCCTTGATCAGAGGTGGACCAGCGCGGATGCGAGAGATCTTGGCGTTGTCTGAGGGCTTAACGAGAGTCGTGCCGTTGCGCGCCACCGGTAACCGTGGATTGGCTTTGGCCGTCCCGGCGCCCCTGTGACCGGCCACTCCGGCGATGGAGAGCGCTTGCGGGATGGAGTCCAGGTATAACAGAGTCCAGAAGCCCAATAAAAGAGGGAGACTAGTCAGAACTTTCATCCTCTGATCTTCCTCTGAGTTTCGGTGATGGAGAAATGACCGACGGCTCTACCATGAACGGGTCTGGAGAGGTAAAAATGAAGCTTTGGAAACGTCTGATCGATTATTCTGCGCAAATCATTGCCAAGAGCCCCTCTCTTCAGAACCATAGTGATCCAGCTCTCTGTCGGAGTGGAGATCCAGGAGTAGGTACAAAAGCGCAGTGTCTCTCGGTGAAGTCCAGCGGTTCTGGTTGATATCTTGTAAGAGACTTGTTTAAAATCCCACTTTTTCCAAGAGGGAAGGATGGCGTAATGCGCTCTCTCGCTCACTCTCTCTTTCTTTCTCCGAGTTTGAACGTGGTCCAGTGAAAACAGCACGCGCACACGCACACAAACCTGCAGGTGCTGAAGTTGCGCGCAAACCTGAGCGCAGGAATTGGAAACGGAATTCCAACGCAAACGGGCTTAATTACTCTCTGATGTCATGCTGTCCAGATTTATTCAACTGCAATATTTCTTCTTAAAGTATGAGTCACTGATTTAGTCCCAGGGAGTATTGAAATAGTACACTTACAAGTATACTACTAGCACACTGATATTTGTATACTTGCTACATAAAGTATGCTTAAACTTTACTTAAGTATACGTAATAAAATAAACTTGAAGTATACTACTTTTTGGTAAGGGTAACTCAGCGAATGGCATCCATTTTTCCTGTCAAAATATTTTTAGCATTTTAATCTACATTTTAATCGTTTTTTCCTGCCTGCACCCTGCAGTGCCTTTAAAGATGCACAAGGTCAACATCCTTGTACTCTGGAACTGCTCAGTCTATCTTTGTTTGCTTTTCTTGTTTAGGCTACGTACTTTCCTTGTCTGACATGTTACTAGTGGCGACCAGAAATGGAATATTATCATAGCTCTGTGATACACACAGGCTAGGCTTTTCCAAAAAACATTAAAAAAAAATTTTAAAAAGCCAGACCACTTCTGGAAAAGCATTCTTTGGACGGCTGAAATTAAGATCAACCTGCACCAGAATGACGGGAAGAATAATGTATGAAGAAGGCTTGGAACAACTCATGATCCAAAGCATACAACATCATCTGTGAAACATGGAGCAGTGTGATGGCATGAGCGTGCATGGCTTCCAGTGACACTGGGTTACTGGTGTTTAGTGATGACGTGACTCTGAAGTGTATCATATTACACTTTATAGCTTCATAGTACAAATGGACGATGGCCCAAAACATACAGCAAAAGCAACCCAAGAGTTTTTGAAGGTAAAAAGTGGAATATTCTGCAATGGCAAAGTCAATCTCCTGATCTCAACCCGATTGAGCATGCATTTCACTCACTGAAGACAAAACTAAAAGGCAGAAAGACCCACAAACAAACAACAACTGAAGTCAGCTGCAGTAAAGGCCTGGCAAAGCTTCACAAAAGAGGAAACCCAGTCGCTGCTGGTGTCCATGAGTTCCAGACTTAAGGCAGTCATTGCCTGCAACAAAATATTAAAAATGAACATTTTATTTATGATTATATTTATTTGTCCAATTAAATTTGCTCCTGAAAATGGGGGGACTGTGTATAAAAATGGTTGTAGTTCCTAAGCATTTTATGTTATATTTTGGTTCCATTTTTTATTCCCCATGTGACAACTTGTCCCAACCTGACATTAAGAATACCCTTGTCCTAAGAATTAATCTGTTAAAAGCTACTGTCATTATATAGCTACAGACTCTTATTTGTGGAATTGTGACTCATAATAATCTTATAGTTAGGCTACTGAGATTTCAGTGACAACTAGTTCTGGTCTTCCTTATGTTTGATCTAAATGTAGGAGTTACTTTAAAATGAGCTGAACTAGTAGCAATGAGAAAAACACTTAGCAAATTATAAAGAGCGTTTATATGACCAACGGTCATTTTCTCCACCTCTTGTGTAAATAAACCCGGTCTGTAGTTGAAAGTGAAAAGGCACCATTCATCTTCCAATAGGATGGCGTAATAGGTGACAGTTTGAACATGTTTTTCTGATACACGTTCAAATGCGCAGCAGGAAATGCGTGTGTGTTAATGATGAAACTGTTCCATTTACAATGAGAAAAAAAAAAAAGCACAATATACTTCCTTGTGTAGTCCATTCAACCTGTAACCGGAGGCATGATGTTTTTCCCCCAGCAGATAAAAGATAAACTCATCATGGAAACAGTCAAATGTTCTATCTGCATGAAGATATTTTTACAGCACAACGTTGCCAGATATTATCAAACACAAGGGAATTTCCCCACGCAGGACATTTAATCATATCTGTGTTACTAAGCAAGTTTTAGTTGGCTTTCCTGAATGTCTTAACCAGCGGTTTGTGCTGAATTTATCTCGTTTCTCGTGGCTCTTAGACTCATTCAGGTCTATAAACTGAAAGTGTGAGGTCAGAGAGGGCATGCGTTCAACACACCCTGTCATTAACCATTTTAATGTTGTATTATCATACAGATGATCACTTAAACGGTTATTAAAAAAAAAAAAATATATATATATA